ACTCACCATTGCATACAGTGACCATCATATAACGATTTTTAACGGGTGTGTGCTGACCAACACCTTATGAGAGTGATAAACGTTCATCCATTTTGTCCTTGTTTGTCCCATCAACCGGAAATCAGGTCATCAAATGAATTGTGCGGGGCTCAGAATTCACGTAAGCCGTTAGGAACTAGTGAATTAATTCCATTTTGTCGACCTGAAAGTAAGTCATCAAATAAATGTGCAACGCTCAAAATTCACAGAAATATGTTTGAATATAAGATAGTAAGTAAATTCTTAGAAACATTTGAAACCAACCCGTAAACACGAGACCAAAGGCGAACACTAACTCTACGCATTTTGTGATGCAAAATATATCAACCGAAGAGATCAAAACGTACGTGTGAAAGCGCGTACGGCTGTAACAGCGTTTCGGTGCCGGGTTGCCCAAGCCTAGATAGGAGAAAGAAGGGGGGGGGAGGTCGAGTTCAAACCACGGACTTTCCGGTCAGTAAATGCGCACTCTAACCACTGAATCATCTGGAAGAACCGCGAGTAACCGGAACCTCTCAAGTCAGTCACGGAAAACACGAGGAATACTATTCTCCTGAATACATTTTATAGTACGACATCCCGCGGTGTTTCAAGAATTTTCACCACGTGAGCAATGTGACAACGGTGCACTTGGTATGATTCAAGGGAAGGTATATAAATTGATGAAGCTGGTCGACGGTGATTGCTTATGTGGAACAGTCATTTGAAAGCTAAGCGAGCTCCGGATAACACATCATGTTTTTATAGTTTGGCTTAACCAGGCCTCAAATCTTGAACGCGAATGTATTATACTGACTTTATTCATCGGGACAAAACTATTCATACAGTGACCGTGACACGTTTCCGCATGTCACCCCTAACTTGAAATGGCAGAATGTGTTGCTTTAAATTTATCAAGTTGTTACATTTATACCAAGTGAGTTTGCATCAGAACCAAACCAATCGGACTTACCGGACCTGCTCGATCGGTGGATATATGTTCACCTGTCAGTTCTCAATGATGTTTTAAGCCACCTTGACTGCTAGCAACACTAATCTCTGCTTTAGCATGCGCACTTCTTCCGCCTGTGTTTTGAGGATTCTGGGCGGGAGCGACAAGCCCGCCGTCCTCGACCTCAGCACACACAAACTGGGTATGTCCCACTAGCCAGATCTTGCTTGATGCAATGCATCTTGAACGCCCTGTGTACCCCTGGCTTGTGATCGCCTCACGTATCTCGGGAGAGTTTCGACATCGCAGCCACTTGATTAGCATTGAACGCTAAACTGTTCAACTGCGTGATGGATTGGTTCGCAGCGGTTTTGAAACTGCTAATCTGATGAGTAGTGTTGGATTTGCGTAAGTTGTAGAGGTCACTAACCAGATGATGCGTCAAAAACACTCAATTCCTGTCCCACTCGCAACCTTAGCCGACAACTCGTACTGCACACATTCTCATCCATTTTTGTTTATGCGGCTACAACTTGCGGAACGAGACAAGCTTATGAACTTCAGCACATCAAGTCCATTTGTACTCATGTTCACACAAGCATCAAGCACGAAGGGCCACTCCTCTTTTCACACTGCATGCATTAAACAGGCATAAAACTCGGCTAAACACACAGAGGACAGGAAGACATCAGAGCTCCTCCATTCTCAACGGAAAATAAAGGAACAAGTGCAGCAGTCGCACTGGAAAGTAGACTCATCCCGCAAACTGAAACTAATAATCAAGAACTCTCAACGAGTGTCCTCAAACGATAAGTCACTTTTTGCATTATTCCACATTTCGCGTTGTATCTATTTTTATTAAGTGCAGCTAACCATTGTATTCATCACATTCTAGTAAGACAGACTTTTGATGGCCGCGACTCAATTTCAACAAGGGAGGCGACGGGCACACTACCATACCATCGCTAACAGACATTGAAAACCAAACCTCCCTTAAATTTGTTTGCAGTTTGAGAGATGGAAGTCATGCGAACAAACTTCAGAGATGCGTGGATAATCTTTGCGCAACACACAAACCGAAATTGATCAGCTTCGCAGTTGACCACTTCAATAAACGAGGCTAGCCACCCTAAAGGCGTCGGGGCAAAAGCATAGCCCAAATTCCGAATACCCCTCTCTCCCCTGTCTTTAGGTCAGCACCATGTCGTTGAATTCAGTCTGAATGAAAATTAATCGGACAAGACCTCAGTGAACGACGTAGTCAATCTCGCTTAGTTTGTGTCGATTAGACTGTGAGCCATCTTGTGTCATGCTTTGCTTATCTGGTTCGTTTTGTTTGGAGAATAGCATTTCTCATTATTTAATTTTCACGTGGAAGCCAAAAGGTCGTCTCACAGTTTGACTGAACACCTCTGAACAAAAACTCAAAACATTCACCAGTTGAATTAATTTGGTGCCATACATCAGACCTGGATGCACTGCGCCCATGAGATTCGTCAGTGGTCCCGCGTTAATTAGCCCAAGTAGAGAGAAATACATTCGATATTGCGTT